AGTAATCGAGATTGAAGCTTCGCAGTATTTCTTCTATATTCTTTCATCTTTACGATATATAGAAAAATGTTTAATATATTTTTTGTAGAGAATTTTACGGCACATCTTTTAAGAAAACAACAAAGCTTAGGGGATACAATTCAACTAAGATATGAGCAAAATACTAAGTGACCGATTTATTCTGGAACACCCGTTAATGCTCTTTCACAGGATGTTTAAGATGAAAAGAAGGCTTATTATGTACTAGACTGTTTCTGAAGCTGAATAATACAATATTGGACTGAAAACTCAATATGTTCTGTACGATTTCTAGTAGAGGTATAGTCAAGAAACATCACAATATTCAGAGTTTTCCTGAGTAACTTAAATTTATCTCTAATATGTAGCTATCGTACATATCGTTCTTTTGTAAACATTTGATCGAGGAATGCAATTACTTTCGATACTCTATAACTGTGTAGAGTAGAAACGATATATTTATTTTTTGGTGGTAAACAAGTTAAAATAATTTACGTAATCTAATTCACCCCGAACAGTACCATAAAAGATTAAAGATTAATTCATTGTATTTGACCATCGTCCTTAATCTGTCCGTCCGAAGTCATTCGTCATTTTTTTCCTAAAGCGATTAGAAATTCAAAAAAGAACAAATGTAATCTTTAAGCTGGTTAATGAAAATATACACCTATGATGTCGCGTGTCTACAACGATCCTAACAACATATACAAGCCACCCACCTCTCTTCAATTTAGAATTGAATGATTTAGCCAAATTAACTAAAAGAAGCAAATAAGTTTATTAAAATAGATAGAAAAACCAACTTTCAATTTATTTCACATATAATAAGATCAACTGTGGTGAGTTCTCTATGCGAATAAATGATTTGTTAATTGATTCATAATTATCTATGGTAATAAATACGTGAGCTCATTTTTTTCTTCTATTTAAACCAATAGAAGATTCATTGTTTGAAATGTATTAAATATGTCCATAATCGCTTGTATTTTTCTCTGTCACAATATATTCGCTTGAGGACGTTATTGGTTAAAAAAATTCCTCTTGTCTTCTGGATTATGGACAATTTTTACTTACTTCAAGCACATTTTTCCATTTATTTATTTCAAAAATTATGTCTAATTTCAAACATAACATCTGATTTCGTTCAAATTCCGTGTATGTTATTACTAGATTCAGATTTCAGAACGGTCACAGCAATAGTACGATAGCCTTTCTTTTCTCTTTTGCTGAGACAAACTAAAACTTTTGAATTATTGAGTAGGAGTCGTCTACAAAGTCCCAAAAATCCTGTATATTATGAACTCGTCTGATAACTTTGACACTTAAACAAATTTTGGATATCTTAATATGGTTTTAATATCCTTTTATCAAGTGATGGTGAGCATGTTGCTATTAGATAACTCGTGATATCATATCGTTTAAAGAACTAATAGTAAATTTATTAAACATTCTAACAATATGCAGCAGCTACCTCTCGTAAGAATTGCGAAGATACTATCTTAGTAGAAAAAATTGGGCGTTTCATTATATTCTATGGTGAAGTGTTGATAAGTAAATTACCTTATACTATATGAAAGTTTATTAATTTTTCGAGAAAAACGATTGTATCAATACATTTTTCGTTCTTTCTTAAATTTTATACGACATAGAATTTTCAAAAAAGTCAGTAATCTGTTATATGCCTTACGGATGTTTGTCTTATTTTATGCACTCCTGTCGTCTATAGTGTTACTCAATGTTTGTAAATAAGTCACAGTTGGAAACTTGAAGAAAAAAAAAGACGAGAGCATTGCTCATAATTACGAATGAAGATAATATTATAAAAAGTACGATGTCATTTCTTGTGTTTGATGTTATACCGCCCAAATTCTTTCACCTCAAAAATATTTGAAGATGAGTCCTTATGTTGTTCGATTAATCGGATTTATACACACCTCTGTTTAAGTGTTAAAGCAGAAAAACAATATCAGATATAAAAAGACATGCTTAACTATAAATTTTTGTAGAACAAACTGAATTATGCAAAAAAGCGGAAAATAGGACCTACTACAAAATTCTCTGCAGGTTATTCATTCGCTAAGAGCAAAGTTTTGTGTAGTATGAAATCTATTCTCGTATAAGTTTAAACAAGAAAACTAAATTGTCTGTCAGAAACGCAAAACAGACTTGCAGAATATGCAATCAGAGCCGCAAATAGAAGCCAAACATTAGGAGGGGTGTAAACAAAATTGTCTCTCTGAGATGGTGTAAAACTGATAAAAAAAATTTGTGAGGAATAATTGATAAAATAACAACAGTATTGTCAATTATTCGGAGGTTCGGACTCTCCCACACCCTCCCGTTATTTGCGGCCCTGCTGCATGCAATAAGATGATCTATTATCTTTCTTGTTTTGTATGTCGTGATGTGCGATCTCCTCTTGCAGATGCAGTTATAATTTTTGCTGGTATAATCAAATATTGTTGAACGCCTCCTCAATGGATGATTTGACTATGGTGAAATAACTCTAAATGCTGTCTCATATCTATGTACAAAGAAATGAAAAACAATGCAAAACTGTGTATCAAATGAACTAGACTAAAAAGTTAGAAAATATGCGTGTCGTAATGTGTAATTTCTTAATGGATATCCTATTCTAATTCTTTTATTACAAATCTTACAATACTGACAACAAGAAAGCAATACGAAAACTAAAGCACATTCAGAAATAATATCCGAAACTACTTTACAAATACAATTAGAATGTTGCAATTACAGCTCTTGATTAAAGAAATGGATTTTCAGAAAGTGCAGAAAATACTATTCTACTCTCATGTGAATAGATCAGAAATGTGAAGAAGCGCTATAATCTAGTTTTTACACTGTATTCTGATCATTAGTAATGGCAAAATTGAAGAATATAATTCAACATATTTACAAGATTTTCCATAATAATTTTACAATATACCTCGATATTATTATTTCAACAATTTATTCAGTCCAATATAAAATTATCCTCATCTAATAGCGATAATATTTCAGTACGATTTTCATTTTTAATGTTGAAAGTGGCAATGCTGAACCAAAACCTATAAACGTGAATCTCTTTTCTCTATTATTCAAGTCTTTCTTTGAAATATTTACTTATTGTTTTTCTAATCAAACTTCTTAGTAGCTTTCAGAATTTGTATCAGTCTTGAAAAATTGCTCTGATAAACAATATATGTTAATAGGATGTTCGTTTGTTATATCAACAGTTCTAAAGTACGTGCAAACTAATCATGAACTTTTCACTTTAGCAGTAGCGTTATGACTGCTGAAGTGAAAAGTGAAAGACCGTTGATGCGATATTTATTTACAAACAAAGAAAATTACAATAGACTAATGTTTAGTCAATATATAAATCAAAATCGATTCGTTGTAAACCGTAAAATTGTTCTGTTCCGACTCGTCGACACCATACGGAATTTTTATGTTCATCAAATTTTCCCATATTAGTCTGTCTTACCATTTGTTCACTGGAAAATGGTCCATGTATTTTGGCATGAGATGTATTTTCAAATTTATACTCCCACATCACCGTTGCGGCTAAAATTAACAAAAACTTTTCATTTACTTAAATCTTGTGCGTGAGAATATATATGAAGATACTTTCTCAAGAACATCACTTAAGAAGCTTAAAATTATTCTATTATTATTCTTAAAATATTCTAGATTCTGACTTCGAAACAGTTGAGTTGGATCTTACTGGTTGATATAAATTGAAAAATATACTTTTATAATCATACCATTATCATTATTTGCTGACGAACTATCCGTTGAAGATGCTGCCAATGATGTCGGATCACCATCACCATACATATCAAACGATGGATTATTACTCGATGTGGTTGTAACATTATTTATTGTTGATCGATCAAATTTCATTTTCAAACGTTCGAATGTTTCTTGATAAATGTCAGGCTGACCATCTGAAACAAATTGATCAGCTAAACCAGTTAATTCTTCTAACAATAATTTGTTCTTTCTTAATTCATCTGGTTGTGGTTCTTGTTGTGCTGGTGTTTGCAGAGCTTTTGGAAGATCACTAGTTTTCTTTTGACGAAAACGTTGTTTGGATTTATTACTAAGAGTAATATAATGAAAAATGTAACAGAAGTTTAATAGTCTAAGAGAACTAGATATTACCTGCTTGCTGCGCCTAATCGTTTGATTGCTTGTACCACAGATTCACCTGGTTGCATGATATTCAACATTGATTGAATTACTTTAACTTCATTAAATTTTATATCGTCATCATTATTAACCTCGTCTCCATCATTTCTCAATTTTACATCTTCATCCTTTTGTTGTTCACTTGACGATTGTTGTGTTTTCGTAGAATTTTTACCATCAAATTTATATTCGTTAACATTGCTCCAATCTATATTGTCTAACCAAGCGTCACGTACCTCCTCTTTCTAGAAGTATACAACAGATGAAGGATTTTATGTAGTCATCCTTTTGATTCTCGCAACATCGAAACAAAGAACAGAAGTTAATGTTACAAAATATTTTAGAAGTTTATTTTTCTGTCCGCAAAAAAGTATAAGCGTACACAACAGCTCAAAATTAAAAAAACTTTTAAACGTTAGAATTTCTTTTTTCCACATTACCAGTGGCCTAATTTCAAGTTAAGCGAGCGTATTAAAAATTGTCTTTTAAACGAAATGAGAGTTAACTAGTATTATTCGGTTCTGTACCTGTGGTAAAGAATCGGTTAAACATTTTCTCGTGGAATGTCTAACACCAACGAAACACGCTTTTTTTCTGACTGGTCATCTCTGACTTCGATATGTTTTAACCTTGTAAGTTACTCTTAAGCTTCATAATAACTCTCAGATCTGTCAATTACATCTTTTGTCAATAACTTCATAAAAAAGTATCAGCATTTCTAACCTTCATACTTCTTATGCGTCTGTTGTTCTATGAATCAGATCATTATAACTATTTTCTTCTCATTTTTTCCTCATTTGACAATAAACAGTATTTCAAGACAAGACGCTGTGAGCAAGGCTATTTCTACAAAAATAGTTAAACCTACATCACGTTTTTTCCATTGGAAGCATCCATCAGCATCGTAATGACCTTCATCCATTTCTTCGTCAATATTAAAAGGCGTTATTTTAATTTCTTCATCAAAATCAATTGTGGCACCTTCTTGACCGATTTCTGTAAAATAAAAGATAGAACATCTATGATAAAATAGTGAATTAAATAAATCTATTAAAAAATACCGTCTAAATCATCCTGATTCATTTGTTTTCCATTTGGTTGTTCATCATCTTCTTCGTCACTATCAAGTGTGTATTTTCCATCATATAAACGTTTTCCAGTTGCTGAATCACTTGTCTTTTTATTATCATCATTTGCAGCGACTTTTCTTGCATTTCCATGGTCTTCACTGTCCTCAAACGTGACACGTTTACGTTTTTGAGCCATTATCTAGAACAAAATTTTAATAGTTTGTGTTAGAAGGAAGCACTTTATGAATGCAAAATGACTACAACTGATTATCTAAAGTATTCACGATCATCTGCATAAAATCAGAGAAACAAAACAGCTGATGAGAGAAAAAAATAACAACATGTGAAAGAACAGCGTACCAGAATCCGACAGGCAAAGGTATACCTCTATTATTAAGTTTGAACAATTATATTCAAGACTAAAAGAGAGAGAAGTTTGGCAATAAGCTATTCGATTAGAACTCCAAAATTTAACTTCGAATAAGAACAATGATACATCATAATCCTTGAGCAATAAAGAACAATAACGTACAATATCATTTAGAATTAAATTTTCTTTTTACAAACAACAAGTAAATACAACACAAAGAGTAAAAAAAACATTAGTGAACAATAGTTAGCGTTTTTTAAAACCATATTTTTTCCTCTCATAAAACAAATCTGTTTTAGCACTTCCAAGATTAACAATCTTTGGACATCCATCTCTATCTTTTTCCATTATTGTACATTCTCGACAATAGTAAGCATCTGAACAACCTATAATAGAAAATAAAATACAGAATAATCACAGTGCCAGTGATAAAACGTACTCAGCTCATCTCACCTGGTCCACCACAAATAACACATCTTCCCTGATATGAACCATAATTACATTCATCACATATTCGAACTAATGTTGATGGTCGTACATAAGAATCACAAATCACACATCGTCCATCGCATTTTTCACATAAACGTCCAATAGCTACACCAGCTTGTTTCCGACAAAAAATTAAATCTGGATGATGTTTAGCCATCTAGAATAATAGCAAATCAAACAATAAGTTTATTTTCAAATTAAATTTTCCAAAATATTTCAGTTTAGATAATAAGTAGAAATATAATAAACTAAAATTCTAGATAATAACTCAACGTCGTTTATCACTCTTGAACTCCAAATTGTTTTCTCTCGCTCTAAACTTTTTTTTTTAACTCGAAGCAAGGAGACTATTCTATCATATTGAAGATACGCTAAAACTAAACGTCAGTCATATCGAATGTAAAAAGATTTAGTAGCTGTATTACTACCTAATGGATCACGGCCAACACCGGTAGGACAAAAAACGCATTGACTCACGCAACACAATTATCAACCTGGAATTCAATGATCACCGATTACGAATCAATGAGTGTTGAAAAGATGATTTCTATTGATGACCAGAATCCTTGACGATTTTCAGACTTTTTTCAAGTTGGCTCGTACCTTCAAAATTTTTCAAGATAGTCGAACCAGCGACGTACCCACCATAGGAACGAGGGTAGGGCATGTCCTCACCCTCTTAGAAAATTCTTTCATACTACCTTTGATGGAATTTATTTTTTAAGGATCAAATGATAAAAGAACAGTTTAGCTAAAATTTTATGCATTTTTTTATTTTTTTTTCACTTCTAAAATAGATATGCATCCTACATGTGCTGGGAGAAAAATCTAACAGAAATGGAGAACCGGACCTAAGTCTCAACTACAGAAAGAAAAGAGACTTAGAGCAAAAAAAAGTTTCCGTGAAAATCGCTGAAGAAATGAAAAAAAGTTCTTGGTTTCCTTAAAAACATTCTGGGTACGTTGCTGATTTCAACATTGCTTAATCTAAGCCTAGATTAGCATTCTGTTAACCTTTCTGTTAATGTTTTCATTCCGTGGATAACACAAAAGGTCAGTTTCTTGATACGTATAGATGTTTATATATTTACTAACACAGACACAAATCCCGATACATTTTTAGGCATGCAGCTTCGCACGATAAATGCATTTAAAGATGTATACAATAGGAATCAAAGGAAATGCATCAATCCTTCATGTTCAAAACAAATACTACGAATCACAATGACTACGCATTTAAGAAATCTGTGATATATACTGCTTAGAACGCATTATTTGGATGCACACATAATATGTGGAGTGTCGGATATTACTGGCTATATAAGAGAATTTCTTCGGTAAAATTCATTGGATGAAAGTTTTGGAATTAACCAAGAACTAGATGAGATTTCATTTCCTGTTTTCGTTTTTTTCGGTTCTGCTACAAATACCGAGATATTCACCATTATACACTATAGATGGTGCTATTTTTGTAAATATCTCGGTACATACAGCAGGGCCGAAAAAAACGAAAACAGGAAATGAAATCGGATTTAGTTTAAAGTACAGACAAAATCCACGTATTCATCTGTCACGTTACATGTCCACAACGTGCCTGTATACATAGCTGGACATCACATTTCGGACTCCTTTCAAGCATGTCTACAAGATACCTAAGATGAGGACGGTGAATGATGTAAACCTTATTCACAAATAGCAGACACCAGCTGAGTAATAAATCACTGACTAGATGCCTACTTTCTGACTAGATTATTGAGGATGATTGCTCAGCCAATAAAAAGCACCAGAATTAAAGCATTTGTATGCATTGATAATGCATAGATAAGTTATAATACGCAAGTACTAGTTGATCAGCAACACTGTAAATCATGAACTAGGGTAGTCGATATTTTTGTCGTTTGTGACGGGTAAAACGAGGGTGAAAATGAAGCGGGTCAGAAAAATCTTGGGTATTGACACCCCCGGGGTGGCAGCAAGGAGCTATTGACACCCCATCGAACTGGCAGCACGAGCTATTGATAGTCCAGAATGCACTTACAAACTGTATAAATGTCTATACAAGAAAGACCATCATCTCCCAGCAACATGGAACTATTCAAGCGACTCACTCTCATGCATAGCCACTCATCCACCCGAAACCACCTCTCATAGACCGTAAAATTCAAAACTAATTCAACATAACATTTTGAATAATACATTTATGCAGTGTTTAAGTGCATTTTGGACTGTCAATAGCTCTTGCTGCCACCCTGGAATGTCAACAGCCATTCCGAAAAATCTTTTGCTACCATTTTCTAGAGCTCCATGAGCACTACAAATGAGAACAAAATGAAAAAATTCGACTGAAGACCTTCCGTCGACTTATGAGCTAGAGGGACCGAAAGTTGACTATTTCTGAAATAGAGACTTTAACGATGGACGCCACGCTTAGAGAGGAATATAGGTATTGAGTTTTTAATATCGGTAATTGTGCTACTCGAGCTGCTATTTCATGTGACACGTCGAACAGCAGTGGAAGCTCTGTTGCTGCGGAGAAAAACAATGTCAAAGTTGCTTTATTAAAGGAAAGGTCGAAACGTAACATCCCTATATGTAAAATATGACTTTTGTAATAAACTGGGCGGACCTAAATGGAAACGCTCAATAAGCTACAAAAAAATGTATGATTAACACTATAGAACTATGATGGATCGATCATTTTCCCAAAAGCATAAGCTATGGTTTTATAAATTTCTTTTACTTATTGAGGCCAACAGGATTGGTACTTGGGCTTCGTTTTAGTGGAGTTGAACTTCAGCTGGAGTTACGTTTTTATTAACCTGGAGTGGATTTGAATCCAGATTTTTTCAACTTCACGACTGCAGTTCAAATTCTTTACAATACTGACATTTTTTATTACTTTTTATATTATTACAGACCATCAGATTTTTTTGCTATACAGACAAAGATGATACAAAGAGTATTTTTTCAGAGTGGGTGTCTTTTTCGATCTCATCAATGTAGTATGACAAAAAGTACGCTTTCAAAATTAACATTGCTAGAATGCACTCTTGAATTAAAATGACCTTTTTGTACGTATTTTATATACAAGATGAACTTCAGCGGTAGTTGTCTTTCTACTGGACTGGGTTTGTGTCAGCTGCTAACGACACTAACATGTTTTACAAAAGAACAAAGTGAAAAAAGTCAGAGAAGAACAGGGTTGCCAGATCTCCTGATCTGACCAGGACACTCCTGATTTTTAAGATTTTCTTCCGATTTCCAATTGTTTTCCTGCATCGATTTTGTGACAAGAATTAAAGACGGAGATCAACCCTGGTTCACAGATAGTTTCCGTACGTTGCTGAGGAAAAGGAACATAGCATATAGACAACATATTAAGGCAAAGACGGACGATAGTCGTAATAAATATCTCTGTTTAACAAAGACATTTCAAGATTCATGTAAACAAACTAAGAACGAGTATATCGACCGGATTAACAACACAAATAGCTCTAATAAACAATGGTGGAAAGCATTAAATTTTTCTCTTGGAAGGAAAAAGCAGTCACTATCTGTACTATAGATGTGTCTGATAATATGAAAACAATACCATATGTAAAAGAGTATGAACAGAGAATTCCACCTCTTGTCGTTTCTGCCACTCAGGTTGAACATATCCTAAGTAAATTAAATATAAACAAAGCAAGCAGTCCAGGAATAACATCGCGCTTGTTGAGAGAATCATCTATAATTTCATCAGTTTACTATAACGAGTATGATTAATCAGCCAATAGAAACAGGCGAATACCCGAAGGTCTTTAAAATAGGTTATATCAATCCATTATTTAAAGACGGCGATTCTTCTAGTACAAATAATTATAGGCCAATAACTCTCCTACCAATTCTCAGTAAAGTTTTTGAGCGCGTTGTATATAATCATTTGTATCACTATCTCACTACGAATAAGTTGTTGTCGAGTATGCAATCGGGATTCATTAGGGGTGATTCCACAGTGAATCAGCTGATTGATTTTGTTCATACAATTTATCAGAATGGAGATAAAGGGCAAATAACAAGAGCTATTTTTCTCGATTTTAGTAAGGCGTTCGATCATGTTTGGTTAAGAGGATTACTGCATAAATTAGAAATGAAAGGTATTTGCGGCTCACTACTGAGTTGGTTTCAGAGCTATGTGTCTGATAGACAAATAATAACAGTGGTTAATGGAAGTCTGTCGTCTCCAAAAAAAGTGAACCGAGGCGTTCCCCAAGGAAGCCTCCTCGGTCCACTGTTGTTTCTTGTTTTTATTGATGATATTGGAGAATCATTAAACTCATGCACACGGTTGTTTGCTGACGATACAGTCATTCATCATTCTGTCAATGACATTTAGCTACAATTTAACACCACCTCCTCTCGTAATAAATAACATCAGTCTAAATGAGGTTAAACAACGAAAACACCTTGGAATTTTTTTGATGAGTAAATTAGATTGGCTAGTACATCAACAATATGTTTTAAATAAATGTGTAAAGTTATTAAATATGACAAAAATATGTAAAAGAATTTCCAGTACATCCACATTAAATCAGTTATACAAATCATTTGTTCTCCCAGTAATCATTTATGGATCGTGTATCTATATCAATCAATCTAATATTTCTGCTTTCGAACATGTACAATATAATGTATCTTTATTAGTAAGCGGTGCATTACGTCTTACGAATCGAATGAAAATAAGAAAACTTTTAGGATGGAAAACCTCGAAGTAACATTTAAGCTAATTACTGAGGCATTTCCATAAAATCATTTATAAAAAAGCTCCATTATTTCTTTGTAAATATATACAACCGATGTATAACTCATCGGTTGTTTATATCAACAGAATTGCTGATATCGCGTTCTATCAAATGCGCTGTGACTTTTCGACATTGAGATCCGACTTATCGAGACGACATATTTTAAAAAACCCAGGGATGATCTTTGTGACTGTTTTCAAAGTGAAACAGTCGAGCATTTCTTTCTCTCATGTCCAATTTACCATTTAGTTAGACTGAGACTTTTCGATAGAATAAAACATCGTGACTCGACTGTCGACATCGATATTGAAACATTACTCCTACGGAAAATCTTCCCTCATCAATTTTATAAAATAATCGACCTTTAAAATAATAGATTTTAATTGACCTTTATAAAATAATAATAGATTATATTTGCGAAACAAAACGTTTCGAATGAACAACACTTCCTTTTTACTCCTCAGTTCTCTTCTTCTTACTTATCCCTTATTTTGTAACTAAAGTCATTCTCTGACTTTGATAAACATTTTTATTGTTAGTTTTCTTCTAGTTCATTGTTCACTTATTGTTTCTACTTCCACTTTTATTTTTCATTTTAATTTGTCATTGGTAACGTACGACATCGTGGACTTGCACTTCTTGCTATACAATGGCGAGCCGATTTAGCAGGGAGTGTCAAGAAGTTTATCTTATAATAAATATAGTTTAAACCAACCGCGATTCCGGTGTACTTCTCACGATGGAACCGGACCGCGGTTCCTGTTCTTCACGTGAACCGAACATCCAAGTGTTGATAAAACACGAGAATTTACTGACTTGTAAAAGTAATATCTCATTTTCCAACTGTTCTTATATATTTTTGTAGACTAGAATCTACTCTTTCTAATGGAAAAAGATGGATGTGTGTACAATGTTTCTGGATTGAGACAGAAACAAACAAAAACGGGAAATATTTTTTGCATCATCCGTTAATGTGTGTGAAACAGTTTGGTGCAATCTTAAACTTCTGAAAGTAGCTGTTATCTAAATCTAAAATTTGAAGACGTACATAAATCCTGTGCGGTGTATAATACTTAGTTCGATAGCTATTCAATTCATTGTTTGGAATCTTAGTTATCCAATTGTTTAGAATCATATTTTTCTCCGATAATACGATAGGCTACAAAAGGAAATAGATCTTATCTTGATTGTTCGTCTATATTTGATGATAGATCAGTTTTCAGTTCAATAAATGATTTTTCATATATTTTTCTTTTCTATATTTATTGCACACTATTTGTTAAATAAAAATTGACAGCAAAAAAGAATAAATAAATAATAGTACCATAAAAAATAAATGATAGTACAGATTTTTTATACAATATTCAGCACCATATATTTAAGTTACTGTTCACTAACGAGCTCAGTACCATCTGCAGATAGATTTCTAAGATTATTAGAGAACGGGCTCTATCTCGTTTATTAGCCCGTTATGTCTCAATTATGAGTCATATACCACTTTGCATAGTTTTTCATTGTTTATTTTTCTGTACCAAGCTTTATCCTACTGCTAGTTTATAATTTAAAAGAAAAAACATTTTTTTGGAAACAATGATGCATCTGACACACCGCTCCGAAATTTTCTATGAGGTTTCTAAGACTCAGCTAAACCAGAAGAGTGAGCAAACATTTTCTCTACAAATTCCGATTAAAAATAACTTAGCTCCCTCATTTCCGAGACCAACGTGATGCGTGATAGAGTGAAATATCCTCTAGAAAATAGGATTAATCCTAATTCTTCACGATCTTCCATTGAGAAGATACAAATTTTTTGGAGTTTGACTCTTTACTCTAAAAACACTAAGTTTTAAGTTTTAAAAATTTTTTCGTTATTCTGGCATTGACAAATAGTCAGTCTTATAGAGTAAAGAGTTTTGAACAAAATGAGATGTCACATCAACTGTACACCATGTTTTCGGATAGAATTATGACATTATGATTGCTGGGAGCCCTACAAAAAAGTGAATTTCACGTTGGAATGTTCTTAGTTCAAAACTTCTTTTTTGTTAGTGCACTCAATTGGCTTACTCTCCTCCTTCTCTCTGAAAGTTTAATCGCTCGGGCTGAGATTTTTACCATAATTATTTCCCATCATCTCGGAATAAAGTATTAGTTTACTACATATTTTAACATTATTAAAGTGATGTTTTACCATGAAATCTTTCCTTTATTTATAGCGAAAGCAAACATTTGTATCTCATTATAACTTACTATATTTTGCAACTTGTATTTAAAAGTGGAATTTAACAAAACGATAATTACTTGTGATCAAAATATACACATTAATAGAGATACTTTACATCATTAAGATAATGTAAAATCGACGAAATAACATAATTCACCTATAATATAACGATAATGTATAATTTCTAATACACAGAAAAATAGTCTAATCTACTAATGTGAATACCAGGAAATAGGAGCTAAGCTTAACACTAGAAATACTAGAAAGTGGCCACCAAGCCCTGCTTTTGAAAATTCTTGTTTTTGGCAACAAAATGATCTTATTTTTCTGAAAAAAACTTATTAAACAAAACAAAAAATTTGGCTACATTTCTTCTGGATTTTTGAAAAAAAAATTCTAAAAAAGGTACTAAAAATTTTTCTACACCTCTTCTTCGCTGCTTTAAAGGTCAATTAACGCCAGAGTTAGAAAAAGTTATCTGAAAGAATAATAAAATGTTGAAAAATGTGCGTTGCAAAAATCACGCATTATTAAATTCGCCTAAGTTTAATACTCGAGGACAATTTAGATCAATTTCAAATAAAAAAGAATCTGACAAATCTTAACTAGAAAAAAATATACCCTTGTAGACATTACAAATAAAATTCGAACTATATTTGATTATTTCTACAAAAAACAAAACAAAACTGCATCACTCTCACCAATATGTGCGATAAGCAAAACAATCGATGTGCAAAGAAGATTAACACATTGTTCTTTTATCGTTAATCTTAATATAAAAGTAAAAGTAAGTAAGTAGAACGAACGTGTATGTATATGAATTATTATTATTGTTTAATTAATATCTTATTTACTACCATGTATTCATAAAGTGCTTTAGCATATTTTTTCGCATATTCTTCTCGATTTGGTCCAGCTCTTGTATCATACGGTAATTCTGTTTGAACTGCATTAATTTTTGAGATATAGTTTCTTGTAGTATATCCACCGCTGTAAAACACTTTTTTACCCGGTTTTGGATTTGCAGTTGATGGATATGAAATACCTAAATCGTGTGCTTCTAATATTGTCCCTAATGAACTCTGTCCATTAATACATTCATTTCGATTATTTGGACATGATGATTGAATTAATTCTTCAATGGATGTTTGCGTGGTTAATTTATCATTATTCAAATTTTCTCCTGTCAATAAATAACCGATCATCGTATAATTACCTTGTGAATGTCCATGAATATCAACTAATAAACCTCGCCCAAATTGTTTTTCAATTTTGTTAATAGCATCTAATATAAAATTATGATAACTTTGATGGCCTTTAATGCCTTCTGGATGATTCATCGTTGCTTCTTCAACTTCACGATTAAAATCAACTTTTTTTCGACTCCATTGTCCGATAACCATGTATGGTAATAAATTATACGTACGATAAAGTTCTTTGGCAACATTTTTCGTAAATTCATCACTTAAATAATCTTGAACAATTGTTATAGAACGTCGTTTTGAATTTGATTGTGATCGACAATTGTGCTGCAATGCACACGTGGTATTACCACTACTTACACAACTAGCTGTTCTATTTGGGACATTTGATGGGAGAAGAGTGCCGCCATGTGGTGCTGAGAGAATTAAATTAACATTACCATTTTGAAATGATAAACACGAATCATGATAACCATGTAAAAAATCGAATGTTACATTGCCACACAACATAATGCTAAAAATTATTAAAGACCTGTTTCATATAATCGTCTTATATTCTCTATTGCACATACAAACACCATTAGAAAAGTAAAAAAGTAGAATGATTTTCAATTCTTTCTTCCTTCTCTTGTCTTCTACGCATTAGAAGAGATTTAGGTACAATATATGTTGCTATTCTCGTGTTCTATCTTTTATATTTTATCATATGTTTTTGCATACTGTCTCCGGTCAATTTAAGGGTAGTCTTTTGTTTTTTGAAAAAGTTTACAATTCGAGTTGAACGTCGGCTAATGTACAGAAAAGTCTGAGCTACAAAATAAGATCCCTCACACTAGTTCACAACCTATTTCTAAGTATATTTAATATAATTGAAAAACATTTTTGTAAAATCATTTTACATAAAAAGCGAGCTTTCGAAAACACCAACAGAAAAGACTTTGGTTTCTAGAAAGCTTTCCTAGAAACCTTCGGAGCTAAAAGAATATATTTTATTGATTTTACGTACAGAATTAGAATGAGCGGATAAAGTAGACATTCTGACATTGCTGACATTCTGAAGTAGGTTGGATGGATTTTGACTGAATTATGAATTATTTAATTTTTGATGAAAATAATCAAAAATGGATTACTTCATCTAGTATAGGTTTTCACTGGATTCTTGCATTTTGTTCTGAAAACCAACATTGTCACGAGATTCAGCATAGTCGATAACCTATGTTTTCATTCATTTCTGACAGTCTCAACCTTGCGTCTCGGATCTAAGCGACGTCTTGAAAACTCATGTTGCGGGACCTATGGACGTTTATCCTGAAGCCTTAGCACTCCTCTGCCGTAGGTTTGGGACTGTCAGAAATGAATGAAAACATAGGCTATCGACTATGCTGAATCTCGTAGCAATGTATAGAAAAATCGCCTCAAGTCTTGGCTATCGAATAGTGAAAATCGGAAGCCTCCATCTTTATTTGGTGCTGAGTTATTCGAAAAATAACCACTGCTCTTGTATTTTGGCTCCGATAGTAGTGCCTTTGAAATTTATAGTCTGATAGAACAAAGTGTTCTCGTCACAAATAGACATCTCCTAAATTTTGCAATGTTTTTTATATGAGCACCACCGTACAAGACAAGGAAAAAATGATGTCTAACATTATCGGAAATGCTCAAAAGTAGATTTATTTTTGCAGTTTACTGCAAAACTAAGTTCACGTGTTCGAATCTCTATTCATACAGAATTGATTTTGTGTTTTTCAATAGTTTTAGTTTAGAATATTATAATGAAATATTTCTCTGCTTGTATTTTGAAAGAATAAAGCTTATACCAAATGCTTGATAATTTTAATTGGGCCACATTACGCTTTCTCGAAAGCTTCATCCGATCGGGTCCAAGATTCTACCACAGATCCCTAGATTAATATCTCATAACCTTAATTTTAGTTTTCGTATTTGATTTTTCTTGCCGAGTTATGAGGTTTTAGAAATCAAAATGATAAGTTTCATTCTTTTCCATCTTCTTATATCTCGAAATAGAAAAATCACAAACAGAAAAATAGCTACCGTTGTGAGATACCTTTCCAGATACGCGTAATGAAACTTTGCGTTTAATCAGATGAAGTTCAGCGAGGATCGTAATGTAGATCAAGACGTACACGTCGACCAACAAGGTGAAACATCAGAAAGTATAGTTAACATGACATTACTTCCAGAATAGTGCGAAAAAATGCAATTCATTTTCTTTAAAGTTATTCTTTATCATTATAATGTTACAGGAATAGATTCGAGATCTTGAATTCGTTGTATTTATGCGATAAAGAAGTAAACAAACAGCAGCAAAGAATATTCAAGTAGCTATAAGGACTCAAGTGGATGAAAGAGCTTGAGTCGCCAAAGTAATCATACAAAGAGAACGTGCATGCTATTTAGATTCACCGGCTGATATTAAGATTTACTAAAATAGGAGCCGAATATTAGGGGGAGGGGGTGTAAAACAAAATTTTTCTGTGAGGTAGTGTGAAATTTATAAAAAAATTTTGCACAAGGAATAATGGATAAAATAACAAAAGCTTTTTCAATTATTCAGGAGGTACGCACTCTCCCACATCCTCCCGTTTTTGCGACGCTGAATGTCGAAATTGAATGTGAATTAACGGCTATTGAACCGTTGCAATAGAATATTATCAAACAATAATTACTTTCAAACTTTTATTGTATCTTCTTGATCGCTTGCCACATTTGATATTATCAACAATCAGGTCTGTTTTACTCGTTCAACGATCATTTCCCTACAAAAAAATATTTTACCGGCACTGGTTGTGCAAGGGTGCGCACCGGTACCGAATAATTTTTTTTCTGGGCACCGATGAGCATTGGTGCCAGAAAGAATGTAAAAATCTCGCACCAGTGCGCACCAATGTCAAAAAGAATGAAAAATCTCGCACCGGTGCCTACCAGTGCCGAAGTTTTGTTTTCAATCACCATTTTGTTTTGTCAATTTCTGTCTATATTAACGCTACAGTCTACTTCTAATATTTCGAATGTCTTTCTGATTCCATCTTTTCCTTCTCATAAGAGAAGTGCCGAGGCAATGTCGCATAGTTTTGGCATGTCGATGTGGTACTAATCAGTGCCACACTCTAATACAAAATTCAGCATAAACAACCATAATAAAGAACTAATTAAATTGATTAAATAAATTATCAGTGCGGCACCGATTTTTGCCAGTGCAGCACTCTTTCGGCAGAAATATATCGGCACTGGTGCCAATCGGCACTTGCTGAGCACGGGTGCGCACCGGTGCCAGCCAGTGCCAGTGACCGATGGCATGCCATGCGCACTGGCAGTGCCGCACTAGAATTTTTTTTATAGGGTTGGCATTCGTAAACGAATAGAAAGACATCCGGTATCCTGTGTTTTAACAAAATAAACAAAGTCAATCAACTACTATTGCTCCTTTTTACCGTTTGTTCCATTCTGTATCAGTTATTAAAGATAGATAGATAGATAGTTTATTTTGTCATTGATTAATAATTGGTAAGACAATGATAAAAAAAGTAAAGTTACTTATCTAATGGCACAAATAAATGACAAACAAGTAATGAATTTTTTTTTGAACAACTTATACGAGGAAATTTTATAATGAATATTCAATGAGGAAGAATTACAAGCAATAGACCATGGATTATTAAGAGTGACTTTTTAGCTTGTTTCTATTAATATTTGTTAAAAGAAACTTTGCAATTATATTGAATTATTGTAACATGTAGTAACTTCATAGCATCTACTCTCATAAGTCAACATAATATTCACACTCGTCTTCAAACTAACTTATTTTATTTAGCATAATCTAATAACAGTAACTCTGTCTAAGTAATTTACACTCACTTTTGTACAATGAACAGTGTGATGATTAAAGCTCTTTCATCCATTCGAGTTTCCGCAGCTACTTTAATCTCGTTTGCTACATTTTATATACTTCCCTGTCGCATAAATGCAACGAGTTTCGAATCTAAAATTATCAAAAAGCAGATAAATCATATTCCTAAACTATTGTCATTCGTCAATTAGCTAATATTGAATAATTGAAGTAAGAGCTGATTAGCTATTTACCATAAATGAAAAAGACACGTTTTGTTTAGCAAAACTTAGCTATTTTATTGGAAATAATTGTTAAACAAACAAGGAAAAAGACAACAAAAAAAACAGAAAACGATAATGGCTGCCTTGTCTAGTAAAATAACAATAAAAATCAGAAACAGTTAAAGTTTATTTGTTCTTATTTTGATCTTAAAGATCATAAACTTTCGGTAATTCATTACCAAGTACATCAATTCTTTGAACGCCTTTGGCATCAATCACAGCTAAACGTACACATCCACCACTTGAACCATCACGTGTTATTGCCAGTGTGATTGCTAAAATTGAAGAGAAAACAAAAATAAACATACTAGTTCTAAAATGAAAACGTTTTCATGTCTACCTTTTAAGACAAGGTCTAAACATTCTTGTTTTGTCATATTGGGTTTAAAGTTATTGTCCAAGAAGCCCCAGATATAAGTACTACCGGAGCCACCGAGTGAAACTGATTGTCGAACTAATAGACCGCCCAATGGACAAGAATAAACCTAGAATTAGTGCTTAACTAATTAGATGATAATTAAATACTTGACGATAAGTTACATACTTGCCCTCCAAGCTTTTTATCCCAACCAGCAACAATCATTCCAGCTACGAAATCATCTCGATACTGATAGATCATTCGTCTTACACAGTTAGCAGCAATTTTTACTAGTGGCGGTTCATTCATTTCAGCTCTGAAAATACACTTGTTTAATGTAACATAGAACAAATAAGCACAAAAAAAAACATACGATAGAAATTCTAACTGATATTGAACAATTTGTGAAATAGCTTGCGTATCAGCTGCACTTCCTGAACGTAGACAGTAAATATGTTCTGTTAATGGTGTTAATTTATCGGTAAAACGGTTCACAACAAACGAGCTAAAAAGGTAAGAAAAGACTATTTAGTCAGTAGTCAAAGGAGAGAATTAGTTCAATCGCACCCAGCTGATGTACGAGTATCAGCTCCTAGAATAACACCGCCATCATATTCCACAGCAACAATTGTTGTCTAAAACAGAATACATTATTATCAATGTGGGATATTCATTAGAAACACGTGAGTTACTTACTCCGGTTGATACTGGCTGTTGACGCATCTCTATTGGAATTATTAATTTATCCATTTGACTATATTGTTTTTGATGACGTAATAAGTCTTCTTCTGCATCATAGGCTGGAGGGTTAAGACTATCCATAACTAAATAATATCTGATTTTAAATCTAAGATACAAATTTACAACACTATATCAGTTAACGATATCTTAGGAAAGAGTCAAATGACAATTTTGCTCTTTTTTCATCTCGTAAAAACGAAAAAAAAGTATGAGCTATCAGAATTCAAATACAACATGAAAGATTCCATCTGTGACAAACAACGAAAATATTCTATATTATATTTATTTTAGTTTAACAGAGACAAAGAGAAGAAGAAAAAAACAAAAATAACAATAAAATAATGAGGCTTTTTTAAAAATTCATTGATCAACAGAATGAACAGAGACATTTTTGTCCATAATTTCTTGAAATAATTAATTATAAGTCATGTATCTTGGTGTTGAACTAAATTTGGCATAGGCTTTAATAACTTTATTGATTGCTTCTAGAAAATCTTTTTCTGTGGCTATTTTCCGTCTAGCTCGTATAGCGAACATTCCAGCTTCAGTACACACACTACGTAACTCAGCACCTGAATGAAAAAGAGTCATAGAATTTATACGAAAATTTTTAATTATCCAGAATCAGTATCAATATTTATTCGAGTCAATTCAAGTTTAAATAGTATTCACTTAAATTCATTACCTGTACTGTTCGGACACAATCTAGCTAACAATTCATAACGAATATCTTTTTCAACACTCATTGATTTTGTATGAATTTTAAATATATGTGTACGACCCTAAAATTCAGAAAGGAATGGTTATATTTAAAATTATTTCATTTATAAATAGCATACTTCAAGATCAGGTAAATTAAATTCAACTTTTCTATCCAATCTACCAGGTCGTACTAGAGCTGGATCAAGAGTATCTGGACGATTTGTGGCCATGAGTACTTTTATATTTCCTCTCGGATCGAAACCGTCTAATTGATTAATTAATTCTAACATTGTACGTTGAACTTCATTATCTCCACCAGCTCCATCATCAAACCGTGCACCGCCAATAGCATCAACTTCATCAAAAAATATAATACAAGCCTTTTTTCCACGTGCCATTTCAAATAGTTCGCGAACCATACGAGCACCCTGGAAACAAAAATGGTAGAAAAATAAACAACATTCAAGAACGAGAAAAGGATTATTTACTTCACCAACGTATTTTTGTACAAGTTCAGAACCAATTACACGAATAAAACAAGCATCCGTTCTAATATAGAAGAAAAACAATAAGATTAAAGGAGAAAAATTAGACTTGTCGTTTAACCTGTTAGCAACTGCTCTTGCACATAACGTTTTTCCCGTACCTGGTGGTCCATACAGTAGAACACCTTTTGGTGGTTCAATACCCAAATTCACAAATTTTTCTGGCTAGAAAATAAAATTAAACATTTTGCTTACTGTAAGAGACCAAATATTTCATGTTTACATGTAAAAGTGGCAGTTCAACAACTTCTCGAAGTTTTTCTATTTGTTCTTTACATCCTCCAACATCACTGTATGTTACATCTGGTTTTTCTTCAACTTGCATCATGGTTACAGACGCATCAATTTTAGGTGGTAATGGAAGATGAATTTGATATTTATTTCGATCGACACTGGAATAGTAAAATAGAACCATTATGGACTTACAGTATTAACTAAAGAAGATTAAATATCATTACCCCACACGCATGCCTTCTTCAATATCTGTTGGAGATACAGTGTCAGCTAAATCGACGACGAATTTCGCAAATTGCTTGACATTAATGATATATTTAGCATCTTCACTGCCTTCATTGATAATTTTCGTACATCTTGCTACTTGTAGTGGTTGTTCACCTATTAAAATACAGACGCTAGTTTCAAATGACTCATTCACTCAATAGAATATACTTTGTAATGCGGTTTTATCGGCTGCGAGATCCCATAAAGCCGGTGGTGCTAAGCCTGTATCTGATTCTTTGATTCCTAGAATTAAAAAAAATCGGAAATTATATTCGAATCAAACTGAACAAGATGAATATTACCAGATAATTCGTTGACACGTTTTAATGTTGATTGTACATCTTCTTCTGTTTGTTTAATTGCTTTATCGTATGGTCCCGCTCCCTAGATATCAAATATGATTATATTATCGAATATTTCTCACGAATAGCTTTTTTTGTGGGCTTACATATGATTTTAGAAGAGCAATTTCAGTTTCATCAAGTGCTAAATGATGGACAAAAATGGTAAATATTTTTGACCTAGTTCATAAATAAGATGAATTAAATGAAAATTGTTCTACCTTTAACTGGTTTATCCTCTTCTTTATCATCTTTCACTTTTGTCTTCCGTTGATCATCGCCTAGATAGTCCGGCATTTATAAATTTTATCTGAAGACAAATTTTCAGCTAGAAGCCTATTGGTTATAGGAACAAACACATCACCGATGGAAGAAAGAAGGGTAGCTCAAATAAGTCTTATTAAATATAAAAATCGAAGAAGAAACGTTTTTCTCAATACAAATCTAGTGTACAGGATCTAGTCTCTCATAATTTCTCGTACTCGCCTAATATAATATAACACACGGTCCAAGAATAATCAGAAACTTGAACTTGAACTTGAAATTGTATTTTATGCCCAAGAAAATATCTCGCAACAAAGGAAAGTACAAAAAACCCAAAGGCTTGTAAATGCAGTGCCACCACGCAGAAAAGATAAGAACCGCGAGAAGGAAGTATAAAAAAAAAATCAATAACAAAAAAACAACAAACAAACAACACACTTATATGGATAGGTGAGCATCTAATGCTCGTTTGAAAGCAGTACCGGTTTGACAAGATACAAC